GGAGAATACTCTCTCTCTCTCTCTCTCTCTCTCTCTCTCACACACACACACACACACACACACACACACACAAATATGCTTTGGCTTAGACAAATGGATCTTCCAGAAGGGTTAGTGTTTGCTTTTGGAGAACACAGGCTATCGAATACACTGCATGCACCTATCTACGTCCAAGCATTATACACACGTTTGTGCAGGCGTTTCCTCCCCACGTGCCAGCCATGCATGGCCTTCCGGGGAGACGCTACTGCACACGCCAAGCGTGCAAAGATCGACAGAGATGTCTTCTGGTATTCCCTTGTACTCCTTAGAGAGTTGGTTTCGAGACACGGCGGCGGCACCTACACCATCGGCACCGCTCTTGAGTGCACCGTGCAGGGAGGACGGGAGACTCACCATGCATCTTCTCTCATGGTCTCGTTTCGCTTGCTTCTATTCATGCAGGTGTCAGGAGGGAGCAGGTGGAGGTGGAGGTGGAGGAGGAGGCTTTTCCGGCTGCTGTACAACGCACATCGCATGAGCTGCATGCATGGGTAGGCCATGCAGTACAGTGTGGAAGTGGAGTACATAGACGTATTTTGTACGTAGATTTGTGCATGGTGTATATGTATGGGTGTACATATACGGAGTTGATGTCCCCTCCGTTACATTTTCTGCAGCAAGATGCTGATGTCACGTTATCTTCTTCATCAGATCTGGAATTGTTGGAACATTTCGGCAATGCTATCCTTACGTAATGCTTCGTTCATGGGAACTCGTCACTCCATCGTTTACTGTCCTTCCTCCTTTCTCTTTTGATCATACCACCACCACCACCTCCACCACCACCACCACCCTCAATCAGAAATCTTCCCTACCCGCGCTGAAATCACCATGGACCGGCTCGACAACAGGGACCAACCAACAACTCGTACACAGAAGTCTACAGAAAGCTGCTGCGCTTGAAGCCAAGAACGTCTCACAAGTCGCCATCAGCCTTTTGTATTGGTTTCAATCATTCAATGTGGGAATAACATGGCTCTGAGACCGGAATTTAACTTGACGTTGTTACCACTGCCACATGTAGGGTGGTAAAGAACAAACGAAGGCTTGGAATCCTACCGAGTATTTTAAGATCTCCGGGTTAATGGTGACCGACATCCGCTGTTGGGTGCTGCTCTACTTGCTGCTGCTTTTAGCAGTCAATTGTTCTCCAAGTGGTCGACAAAGCGCATCACAGAATCCGGTTCTCTAAATCCCCTCATAATGAAAGAAAGAAATGAGAGTTCGGAAATGTGGATCAACAGCTGCTCTCTTCATCCCTGCCAAGTGTTCATCTCCGCTTCATCGTCAAACATTGCTTGGAACCTGTCTTCTCTATCACTCACAAAGGTTTAGTAATCAGGTTGTGTGGGTTCGTAGAACGAGGGGAACACATCAGAAAAGTTTGCAAGAACTACACGAGGGTGGGTTTGCAAGAAAAGTTCCTTTTCTGAAGGAGAATTCAGTCTTAGGAGGTCTTTTCCTTTACATATTATGTGTTCTGAGTTGCACCAGAGAAAAGCATGCCCATTGTCTCTGTAAAAGGGAAATAAAGGTAAAGGCACAGTGAGAGTTTGCACCCTTACTAAAAGGAGAAGGAAAAGGGGAGGACAGTGTTCCGAGTTAGATACCAAATGATGATTAAGAAGACCATTGCTACCTGTCTTTGTTGTGTCATTGCCTGCTGCTTAGCAAACTCTTAGCCTGTAATCACCCTAATAACTGTGATCCACCCTGGCCTTTATAATACTCCCAAGATCTCCATTGGCTGGATGAACTAAGGCATACAGTTCCCCTGCTATGGAGGAAGAGGACATGATGGCCCCCTCTCTCCAGTATTTAATTCCTTGCATTTGGTGCCTATCATTGTTTATTTCCACGAGGTTATGTAGCCTCTAATTATGGGCTTCAAGCTTGGTTATGTGCATTGTTTATTAGCGTTCAGCTTTGTCCTCTTCTGCAGCCTTCTCTCCAATGCAGAGAAAGCCGGGGGCCGCTATTCGTACCAATGGCATGTCAGGTAAGCGGGCGGGTAACCTGTGTGGGAATAGTGTGAAACGTTATACGCGGCGGGTCGGATCCACCGTCGTTGCCTCCGTGCGGACCAAACCAACGGGCGATATGGTCTCGCACGCGCGCGAAGTCGGAGGCCAACGGGAGCGCGAAACGCGTCCTCGCTACGCGTCGCCCGCCGAAGGAGCGGCGATCCGGGGAATGGAGCCGACTTAGGCATCGACACGTGGAAGGAACCTCGAGTCAACTACGGACACGTGGTCGGACGCAGCGCGCGGGCGACGGGAAGAAAGGGAACGCCGTTGGCGACGCCGCCGGAAGCCGAGCCACCTACCCAAGCAAGTCAAGCGCCATGGCTTCTGGTACGGACACCGGGTGGTCCTTCACCTGGCATCAGAACGCTCGTCTCTCACAGTGATGGATTTGGCTTCACTCGACGGCCATTAAGGCGGTGGGTTGCAGGGTCGGACGACGCATGGTCCAAGCAGGGGTGGGGTGGCCCGAAGGGGGGCTTGTCTTTTGCTGCCATCGCCATCGGAGGTCGAGTCGCCGTCTCTTTCCAGGAAAAAGGTCGCAACAGCGACCCCTTCCTTCCCTAACAAATATCAACTCGGTCGCATAACATCTGGGGGCCAATCGGCTTGGAATGCTCGTCTCTACTGCTCTGTGGCTCGGATTGCTGGATCCTTCACAGCCTCCTTCTCCGTCACCCGAAATGGCGTGTATGTATGTCTACATTTATGTGCAATTACTACTGGCCAATCATTGGTCGACAGCTATCGTTGTCTTCCAAAAGTTACTCTCTTTTTTTTTAATTATTATTATTATTATTCGGAAGAAAAAAAAAGGGAGAAAAGGACGTCCACGTCGGGACTCTTTTTGATGGGGCCCGCAAGCACCCGAGCCGCCGCCCCGACCAAACGGCGCGTCGCGTCTCCGGCCACACGAAGATAACGGCGTTTGCGCGGCTTCCGCGCCCGCCGTCGAGTCCGCCCGAACCCTAAATATAATACATGGTAATAATAACCACCACGGTATCGCCTCTCTATCTCTCTCGCTCGCGCCTGTCGTCCAAAAGCAATCTCCTTTCCGCTCCCACTCGAACGTGAGTTTGCGTCTTGCCCGTAGCCCCATCTCAATTTGCCCTCAAGCGTTTGGATCTCCTTATGGCCTGGTATGTGTGCTCTTCGCCTTTTTCTTGTTCCTCTGTGTTTGATTACCAAGTCTTGGTGGGTTCTTGCCCTTTTTCTTCTTGAGTTTCTTGTGTGGTTGACGAAAGCTTGTGACTTGAGGCCGGATTTTGTTCTAGGTGGCGTCTCTGAGTTGTTTTCTCCGTTTTCTTGTGTGTGGCGTTTTGTTCTATAATTTTAAGTGTTTGGTGTCTGGGTGACTGATTTCTGCTTTTCGACCGTTGGTTTCTCGTTCGGAAGGTCGAATTCCGGATCTTTCTTTAATTTGTTTTTGTAGATCTAGTCTTTCTGGGTGTGCCGAGAATTTTGGTTTCTGTCAATCAAGGTAGGCTTTTGCCGTCCTTCTTGTTTATATTATGAACGGGTTTATGGTTGAAGGCTTCGGGCTTGGTGTTATAAAGTACATGTTGAAGCTAGTCCTGGCTTCTCCTAACAGAGGTGGATCTGTGAACGTGTAGATCTTGAGAGATGTGAGACGTGGCCTCTCGGGACTCTCAAGATGTTCCAGATCCTGTTTCTGGAATATGTTCTCTATAATTTGAAGTTTTAGCTCTTAAACTTAGAACAAGACCACTTCTTGATTACTCTTTTTGAAAAATACAAATGCGTTTGTCTTAGTGATGTTGTCCTCTAAAAGGTAACATCTGATGTTTGCCCATGGTCGTGTCTTTTTGTAATTTGATTCTGGTCTCTCTACCTTTACATTTAGCTTAAGTAGGATTTTAGAGTTCGAAGTACTTACATGAGACGCGTGCTTATTGTGGAGCCATATCTTTAGGTGTAATTTGATCTATGACAAAGCATCATTTCACTTTTAGGCAGATTAGTTTGAATTAGTAACTTTAGCTACATCCACTTTCCCATGGAATATTTACCTGTATTTACGGATTGATAAATACATTTGTAAGGGTTTTTTGATTTGTGAGATTACTTGTCATCTGGATTTGGAGTCTATTTGGTTTGTGTTGAGAACATATAAAGTGAGATGGTGCACAACCGACTTTTGATGGTGTCGGGTATAGTCTTTGAATTAGTACTTTGCAGTTGCTTGGTGGGTTATATAAGACTCCTAGAACATATTATTTAATCAGGATTAGCATCCCTGAATTCATGAGAATTGATCTATGGCTGAAGTCTTGTTTTTTATTTGCATAATATTTTTTCCTTTGTCATCTGAATTGCATAGTCAAATAATCTGATCTTGCAAAACTGGACGTGACAGTGATGTTTGACCATGTACACATCTTCCTCACCATGTTTTTCTTTATGAAGCTTCTCAAATTTCTTGAAGAGATATCTGAATTGTTGACTGCGTTGGTTGCATACCTCATATTAGGTGGCATGCTTTTTAATGCTTTGCTATGTCATGCATGCTTGTTAGTTTGACTTTGGTTTATATTATTACAAACTAATAGAGTTAGCTAATTGCTGAAAACTAGCAATATATTCTTTTTGAGAATGCTTTTCTGGATCTGTCTCTTTTTGTTGCAGGTTAAATAAGGTTTGAAGATATTGCAACCTCCAGTAGGCAGCCAGTGAAAGTCATTTTTTATTTGATTTTATCCACTGAACATCGTCAAATCTTTAAATCCAGTAACTATTTGATTACATATTCTTCTAAATTGTCTCCCCAGAAAAAATGGATCGTGCTGATACGTCTGGCTTTGTCAGTGGTGGTAGTCATGAATTAAGATTCCATGCTTATTTCCATTTTATCTACATAGAATCTCTTATAAGGCTCCTTCAAGAAGACTGAACTGATATCCTCTGCCTGCAAACTTCTTCCTAATTCGTTCACATCCATTTCCTGTGCACCTTGTCAGAGAGTATGAATCTTGACATGACTGATCTCTTGTTGTATCAAAGAGAACATTTGGACAGCGCTTCGGTTACACATGCTGGTCAGGTTTCAACTTTTGGCCAGACCAACAACTTGAGCGACACAATGTTACGAATGGACAGCCTAGGCTATGAATTATGTGAATCTGGAAGGCCTGTGAATCTTCAGAACAATTCTGATGTCCGTACTCATGATGATGGCTGCCGCCTTGTCCTTGGACTGGGTCCAACTCCAAACTTCTATTCTGCTGATTACAACCCAACCATGCTTACTAAACCGAAAGAATCTGCCACTTCATTTAGCTGGAGTGTTTCTGGAGCTGATTTTGGCATGTTAGAACTTGGACTGTCAAGGGGGAGTTCAAACACAGTCCCAGCTGTCATACAGAATAGTTGCCAGACTGAATCACCTTCAACTGAGAAAAGGATGCATGTTCCCATTGTTGACGAGGGTTCAACTTCTGCCAAGAGGAAATCGGGTGGCTATATGCCGACTCTTCTTTTTGCTCCAAGACTGGAGAATGTCAGTGGTTTCAAAACCCCAACCGAAGTTGGGAAACTGTTAGACGTTGCAAGTGATGCAACTATCCACCACCATCATTGTCATCATTACCATGTTCTTAATCATCAGTTTCAGTTCAGTCCTGAGACCTCTGCAGCAACAGATGGTTCAGTGGGTGGAACCACTGATCCATTAGTCACTGGCAGTCCAGCTGACCAGAGGGCCAATCACCATCAATCGAAGAAATGCAGGTTTAATGGCTGCTCAAAAGGTGCAAGGGGGTCATCTGGACTCTGCATTGCTCATGGAGGTGGGCAGAGGTGCCAGAAGCCTGGCTGCAATAAAGGTGCCGAGAGCCGAGCAGCATACTGCAAAGCCCATGGAGGAGGGAGACGCTGCCAGCAGCTTGGGTGTACTAAGAGTGCAGAGGGAAAGACAGACTTTTGCATTGCTCATGGTGGTGGTCGTCGGTGTGGTCATCCTGGGTGCTCCAAAGCGGCGCGTGGCAAATCTGGGCTGTGTATTAGGCATGGTGGGGGTAAGAGGTGCACAGTGGAAGGCTGCACAAAGAGTGCTGAGGGCCAAGCAGGGCGCTGCATCTCCCATGGTGGGGGCAGGCGGTGCCAGTATCAGGGATGCGGCAAAGGTGCACAAGGGAGTACCATGTACTGTAAAGCCCATGGTGGTGGCAAGCGGTGCATCTTTGAAGGATGCAATAAAGGGGCCGAAGGAAGTACTCCTTTGTGCAAAGGACATGGCGGAGGCAAGCGGTGCCTCTTTGAGGGCGGTGGGGTGTGCCCAAAGAGTGTTCATGGTGGTACTAATTTTTGTGTAGCTCATGGAGGGGGGAAGCGTTGTGCCATGCCTGGATGTACCAAGAGTGCTCGTGGTCGTACTGATTGCTGCGTGAGGCATGGTGGTGGTAAGCGGTGCACGTCTGAGGGATGTGGAAAGAGTGCTCAGGGAAGCACGGACTTCTGCAAAGCTCATGGTGGAGGGAAACGCTGCACATGGGCTATGGGGTGCGAGAAGTTTGCGAGGGGAAAGAGTGGTTTGTGTGCAGCCCATGGGAGCTTGATGGTCTCCCCAAGGGAGCACGAGGTTGGTAACTTTGGGAGCATGATAGGGTCAGATCTTTTCCGAGGGATTGTCTCAACATCTACAGCACCAGGGAACAGCAAAGATAACGAGCTCTCTTCATCAGGAGTGAGCTCCTTGTCTGACTGCGAGTCCTTCGACAGCATGGGGAGTGAGCAGCATCTTATACCTCCCCAGGTGCTGGTTCCCATCTCTATGCAGTCTTCCTCTTATGCCTTTGGGCTGATTGGTGGGGTAAGAGAGGAAGGAGAGAGCCAGGACAAGAGCTTTGGGCTGGTGATCCCCGAGGGCAGAGTGCACGGCGGTGGGTTGATGTCTTTGCTTGCAGGTAACGTGAAGAATGCTATTGGCGGTGGGAAGGTATGACCTTCATTTAGACGCACGGTACCCTCAAAACGCAGTTGCCTAATCGGGAAGAGGGATGTGGTGTAGAACAAGTTGTCTATATTATTGGTTGGTTCTCTGAGTCAGTCTCAAAAACTCTATAATCTTGTCTGGTTGGGTTGTACTCGCTCCACACGGTGTTAAAAGAATTGGAGTGTGGAAGAATTAAGGATCTGTGTCTAGCTGTTGTATGGCTTTGTAAGATTCCATTCCTCCAGACTTGCAGGCACCAGTTCTTATCAATAATTGCTGTATTAGGTGCTTCCAGGAAGTTTAGTGTCACTTGTGTTGTATGTGGTCTTTCATTGGGGTGTTTCTTTGGCACATTGTGATCAGTTCATGTCAAGGGAAGAAAAGTCAAAGAAAGAGGATTCACCTTAGCAATAATTTGTTTCTTGAATGATGCTCCTGATTTATTGCATCCACCTTTTGGTTTTAGCAGATTGTGAATTGCTGTGTTGTTTCCTTCCTGACCTTTTGTTGGCTGAGTCTCTATCTCAATCACATCTCCATTAGTTTAGAGTTTAGATTTGTGATCTAAAAGTTCAGTACAGATAGATTCTGTCTGTATGACATGAAGTCCCAAATGAAATCGTCACCAGTACTGTTGAATACATCACCATTTGGGAATTGAGAGGAACGTGGAAGAATACCATTTCAGAATAATTAATAATCTAATATCATGAAAAATAATCAAAAAAGAATGATATTATGGGTTACATTTCTCCACCAATAAACAGAGAGAGAGAGAGAGAGAGAGAGAGAGAGAGACGCACACAAATGGACACAGACAGAGGCAAATAGAGAGAGACGACGGCAGCGGCCGTAACCAAGGAGAAAAGCCATAGCCTTTTCGTTGCTGTGTCGACCCTGAAGTCCATTGTTGGTTTCTCTTCAGATCCGTTGACTTCCCGACGACTAGGGTTCCCCGATCGCATCATCAAGTCTCGATCTTTTCCAGGTTTACCTCCCTCGAATTATCCGCGATTGCTGGATCCGGACGACCGCTGTCCTCAAGACTCCATCTTTGCTTCCTCCGGCGGCCCTGAATCGGCTCCTCGATCCTAAGGTGTTCTCTTGCTCTGTCGCCCGGATCTTGTGTAAAATATCTGCAACCGGGCTGATCAATAGAGGAATGTCTTCCACGTTGAAGTAGCAGGGATCGTGAGTTCGGCGCCAAAAGAGAAGCTTTGTTTCCGTGGTGCTGCGTCCCCGTCGAGGATGGTCTTCTGGGAAGGGTACGTGAGTGATGAGTTGACGGGCACCCTTGCCCCTATCGTGGTTTATTGGCTGTACGCAGGGATGTATCAGCTCTTGCCCCCTTTGGACCAGTACCGGTTGCACACGAGAAAAGAAGAGGAACAGAAGAATTTGGTGCCGCTGTCCTCCGTGATTAAGGGTGTTTTGCTTCAGCAGCTGGTTCAGGCCACGGTTGCAGGGCTGATGTTCTTGGTGAGTAGTTGAAACCCTTAAACAGTGGTGGCAGTTCTGATTGCTTGTTTTAGTAATCTTGTCCCATTTTCCATAGTAATGACTCGTTATCAGAGGTAAGAAATCTAACTCGTTATTAGCAGTAAGGTGGAAATGCGTTGTGTTGGATCTGAACCTTCCATGTTATGGTTATTAAGTTTGACATTTTACATAAATTGAAATTTATATATATCTTAGTCCCTTGAGATAGATTGCAAGGGTTGACATCTTCCATAACTTGCTATGAAATATGCAAGATGGTTGATGCATGTGCAAGTTTATAATCTACTGGTTGCAAACCACAAGGCACATATTGCCTGCAGGCTTCAGTAGCTGCATAACTTTTAGTCAAAATCCTTCTGAGAGGAAATACTTTATGGTCAACCGGAAGTCAATTGAAATTGCTTCAGTTTATCGTAGCCAAATGTCATTCTGATAAGAGGTGTACTCTTATGTGTCCACAAATACCAGTTAGGAGAATACCTGATGCTAAATCTTCAGTGCAGATCTATGGCCGCAATATATGGTATGCTTGTTAGGATTTTTTGAAGTCATCATTTCAGTCCAACCGAAAGGGTGCCTTTTACATAATTTTATTTTTTTTGGTGGACATGGAGGGTGGGTGGAGGTACCTGCAATTCTTAATTGAGGAAAGAGTGTGTTGATGAATTATTTTACTGAAGCCCCCTTTTCAGTCCTTGTCGATAATCCTCATACTCGAAGTTATAAAATTAGGGAGTTTCAGCCATTTACCAATTACTATATTTTTTTGCTTAAGATGTTAGTTTATAAATCAAATATGGAGTCAGTTAGTTATGTATGTAGAATTATTTCATCAGAAGCAATGTATGTTGTCAGATTTTTATGAAATAAACTGGTTAGATAGAATCCTACCCTCATGATGTGACCTCAGAGCCTATTGCTGGTCTACACTTTGTAGGTGAAAATTACTTGTCCCTCTAGCTCTTCATCCTTGGGTCGCACAGATTTTTGGTTAAAAAAGAACACTATGTTGAGGTGGTTTGTCTTTTCTTTGGCTGTTTTATTTTATCCTATGATCTTACATTTACTTTTATGAGTCTCCTGAGGGTTCTTTCTCATTTTACTTCATGTTAAATAACTTTTGTAATCATTCTTTTGTTATCATTTTCCAAGATTGGTTCCGAAAGGAGTTGATTGTTTTACATAAGAAACACTTATATTAGTTCATTTCATAACATGGTATAAAAATGCCTTTTGAACCCATAATCATGCCTCTTTTCTAGGAATAGTACTTACAGTGTGACTGATGTGATCCGGAGACCATTCAATCCAGGAATACTTATCTTTGTAGAACTATGTGATATTAATCTAACTTGAGAACTGCAAGTGCAAGCTACGCAATCTAAAACTCTTGCGAATGGCTTGGAATTTTCATGTTTCACTCAACATCTTAGCAAGTACAGCCACCTGCTATACTTTGAAGTGATGTGTGGTTGCTGCTTACCATATAACGTGTTGAGACTTTCTTGAATTGGCAATATATGTGAATCTTATTCTGTGTGATAAACCCAGATGATTGCTTTCCTCAAGCGAGTGTGTGCTTTATATCTAAATATAGTCCTTTCAAGTGTTCTCTCACATCAGCTAATATACAAATTTGTGCTAGTTATAGTTTTAAGTACAAGGATAATTGGTGGTACTTGTTTGTTAGCATTACAATGCTTCATCACAAAGTTAAACAATTGTGGTGAAGACGCAAGTGGGGAACTTTGTGTCTACTCATGATTTCCTGTTCCAATATAAGAGACTACTTCTTGTAGTCACATAAACATATGATCCATAACTACGTTCATTGACATGCACTATCTAGTTTCTTGTATGTAAGGGCTATAATGTGGCAGTCAACTTTTGTTTTTTTCATATATGTAGAGATAATCTTAAAATAACATATATAACACCAGAAAACTATGATCTGATGGATTGTTATTTATCTGCAACCTCATACTGCAGGTTACTGCTAAGCCAAGCATAGCTGGTAGCTTAATCCAACCGCCTGTGCATGTCCAACTGATCCAGATCTTGGTGGCGATGTTCATAATGGACACGTGGCAATATTTCATCCATCGGTATATGCACCAGAACAAATTCTTGTACCGCCATGTCCACTCCCAGCATCACAGGCTGGTTGTTCCTTATGCTATAGGTGCTCTTTACAATCACCCATTGGAGGGCCTACTTCTGGACACCTTTGGTGGGGCCATCTCATTTCTGATCTCGGGGATGACGGCAAGGACATCTGTATTCTTCTTCTGCTTTGCAGTAATCAAGACTGTTGATGATCATTGTGGTCTTTGGCTGCCTGGGAATATCTTCCACGTCATCTTTCAGAACAACACTGCCTACCATGATATCCATCATCAGCTCCAAGGCACAAAATACAATTACTCACAGCCATTCTTCTCCATATGGGACAGGATACTGGGCACCTACATGCCATTCAGCTTGGTGACCCGCCAAGAAGGGGGATACGAGGCAAGAATACTAAAAAAGACTAGCTGACATGTTAAAAGATAGAGTTTGAAGTGGGTGTGCCGTGTGCATAACAACAGCAGTATCAGGTTTGTTGAAAGTTTACTCGGTTTAATCCTCTTGAAATTAGCAGGATGCTTAATCTGCTTGTTCTCTCATTATTTGACTAGTTTCTGGGCACTGTTCTCTTACCAGTGGCTTATAAGTTATATTTCTAGAAGTTCCGAGTTTTCTTGCATGTAAAGAATTATTCTTCAAGTTTTCTTTTTTTTTTTTCAGTACTGACTACTGAGACTTGATTTCATGATGGTTTGTGAGTTTTTCTTATATCCGACGAATTTGGGAGCATAGTTTGCTTGTGCTAGTAATTGAATCCTGATATCATGCCATGTTCAAAAGACTGCATCTTACTAGTTCAGATCAAAAAGCAGGGTTTCATTTTTGACATGTAAACATAAATTTATCTCTCTTCCAAAGTGTTAAAATTCCAAATTCTACAATTTATGATCTTCCACTAGTGACAATCCTAATCGCAAATGTAATACATTAGTTATAGGTTTATCTTGTATTTTCTGTCAAAATGTATTCACATACACACAATGCACATTGTTTCACAAATTCAAATCTGATTTGATAACCAAGGGAACTCTAGCACTATCACAGCATCCACATATAGGAGACTGAGATGTCAGCTTAGCACACCTGTGAAGAGTTCATAAATGTGTTCCAAAGTTGGGCTGCCTCATTCTTGTATTCTTGGAGTATGCTTTCTAGTGGACTTCATATTTTCAGGAACGGTGTCCATTCTCAGAAACCTAATGCATGTCACATTCATATGTCTACAAGGTAGTATGTAATTTGGTCCCAGAGCTGGATTGAACAATCATCTTGTTTATCAAATGTTATCATATGATAACTTACATGCCATCAACGAGACCCGATTCATTTTCTTCATATATGACTCGTATCAATATTCTACCCTAGGCTGTGCTTCTCCATTTGTGACCCGTATGATCAGAGTTGGGTTTTTCCATTATGGCTAGTCAATTATCTCCAGTTTGTACAATTATACCAACTATTTTAGGATACTTGTGATCTCTTTTTTTATACGACTCATATTGTTCCGACTATTTAGAATTCCACTATATTGATCTTTTTCTATCATTGAGCTCTTTTTCCATCCTCATAAATATATTCCATATCTGTAATATACTAGGTTGTCAAAGAGAGACCTGCTAGGCTTCAACACCCCACTGTCCCTTTATCTTGTAGGTCGGATCCTGATACCAGAGCGAAAACCCGGAACCCTAATATCAGAGTCCCTAGGTCGAAACCTGGGACTCGTTTCAACACATAATATAATCATGTTTGCACCAGCGTTCAACTTTGTCGGATGACCAAACTTGACCTCATTACTGAATATACTCTGTTATCTGCAGAGGCATGCTTTTATATTAGTCTAATGATCTCATTAGCATAGTCTGCAAATTTGACTTCCCCTGCTGAACATACTTCTCCATGTTGATGAACAATGCATCAACCTGAGATGCTATTCCCAGACATGTCGTCTGATATCAGCACATTGTTCACTGTACATCGACATGGATCAGGACACTCATGGCTGCGCCAGCGACCTCTGCAACAGTGTCACCATCTCACTCCTGTTGCTTAGATCTGTCTGCTGATTAACTTAGTTTGGCTTCTCTCCCTCCTTGTCAGAGAGAGGAAGAAATGGATTCTGTATACATTCTAGTGGGAATTGGCAGTACAAGAATCTTGGAGGACAAGGCAAACTTTCCTGCCATTATTAATATGCTTGTACGAGACACTGGGGATTACTTTCATCTCATTCTAAAGCCAATAGAATTGCCTGTTTGATTGTAGCAATATTGGAACCATGCAGTATCAGACACCAAAGGTTTTTTTCTTTTCCGAATAAGCCAATTCATTTGAGACCTTGCAGATTCATTCTTTTTCCTATTCGAAGATCAGCCCTTTGTCTTTGTGTTTTCACATCCCGAATTCTTTGCGGATGAAGAGATATCAAGGGGGCTTATTACATCTATGGCATATCATCCAACATCTCTGCCACAGTGTAGATGAAGAAGTTAGTTGTCACAAACATGCAGTGGAGAAGGAAACCATGTTTTGTATTCCTTCTGCAATTCCTGAAGCTTCTTGTGTTGAATAAATCATGGTGGTGTTAGTTGTACAGGAAAGCTTTTTAGGATTCAACAGTGTATGATGTGAAAGGGCTTTCTTGATGTGGAGGAAAGAGAACTTTGTCATTAGCTGCATTATTGTACTCCCACCATAAGATCTTCTCTGGAGAAGCCAAAATGTGATGAGCTGTAATATGAATTTTCTCTGTTGGTGAGTAGTAAATTGCATGACTGCAATATATGTGACATGCAGTAGAATAGATAAACAAATCATTAGTAGACCTGAATGACAAGAACTTGTTGATGAGTAGTAAATTGCATGACTGCAGTAGACTAATAGATAAACAAATCATTAGTAGACCTGAATGACAAGAACTTGGAACTAGCATTTGGTGTTCCTCTTGTGACCAAAAAAAGCTTGGGGTAAATATATGTGGCACATCACAACTGGTAGTTCTTAGGATCCTCTCTCTCTTTCTATCTCTACACAGAGGGTTGTAGGACAGTGGATGCCATGCCAGTGTATGCATGCTTCCCTTCATATCTTGAATCCAAGTTTGTGCAAGGCTAAAGAAAGCCATTCCTTGTTAGAACAACCTTTCCCACCAACTGCAGAAAGAGCTTTTTCCTGTACCTATGAATTAATCTGCAGAACAAGCAGCAAGTAGAACAACCACAAACATGCAAGTCATAAACCCTACATGATCCAATAGGATCCACCTTAAATTTGAGAGAGAGGTAACACAGATTGACTCACAAGATACATCATCATCAATAATTATTTAGTACATAGCCACTCCCCCCTGTTTCCAGTTCAAACAGGCAGCTTTCTTCACCATGCACCAGTGTGCAAACACTAGTGATGGTAGTTGTGTTGCTCTGACCACGCCCAGAGTGCAGATTGCTCATCTGTGTTGCAGAACATGTTGCAGAAGCCCTCATTCTTGGCTGTCTCCGACTTGGAGGAACGACGTGGTTGGGAGACACTCGATGGCCTACGCCTGGAGAAATCCAAATCGGTATCAGAGCTGGATGAGCCCTCTGTTTCCTTGTTGAGATTGATGGGCTCGGAGGGTTCCCTGTCTTTGAGTGCCAGAAGCTGAAGAGTTGGATTAGAATGCAAGTATGGAGGCAGGGAGATGTCGAGGAAGACGAACCATGTACCTACCTCGGAGAGAAGCTTCTTGTTCCGGGCTTGCAGGGCTTCGTTCTCGGTCTTCATGATCTCCAGCTGCCTCTTGAGCTCGTCGTGGTCCTTCTCCAGCTGCTTGATCTTCCACCTCGCCCTCCTGTTCTGGAACCAGACGGCGACCTGCCTCGGCTGCAGCCCCAGCGCCCTGGCCAACTCCATCTTCCTGTCCGCGTCCAGCTTGTTGCCCATCTCGAAGTTCCTCTCCAATGTCCGCACCTGCTCCGAGTTCAGCCTCCTCTTCTTCTCCCCCCCCGGCTGCAGCGCGTCGTCGGAGAGGTCCTCCTCCACATTCATCTCCTCGCAGGCCTCCACCCTCGAGAAGGGAATGGATCTGTTTCCCATGCCGCAGCTTGCAAGGTACTGCTGCTTCTCACCTCCGAATCGTGGTGGATCGGCGGGGAGCAGGGGAGACGTGGAGGTGTGTAGCTGCTGCTGGTGGTTCTCTTCATGAGCGGTCTGCAGCACCAAGTTTGCAGGGAAGAATAGCGGCATCCTATTGCAGGCCATCTGGTTCAGAAACATTGGTGGTCGCAGAAACTGATTGCTGCAGTGGTAAGAGGGAGATAAGAGCTTGGGAAAGAGAGAAGAAACACATGCATGGTAGTGGGAGGAGGAAGGACTCATCGGTGGAGTATATGAAAGGAAGATATGTGTACTGTCAAGAAGGACAAGGTGTGGAGTCCAGGTTACAGCTGGGGAGATGTAGAGGGCCATCATCGACAGGTGAAGCAGATGGCATCAGCTCCTTCACGCAGCTCCAGAATCCAAGGGATGGTGACACAGTCATGGTCTCGTCCTCACGTTCTACCACCATAGACTTCTGCTCTCAGACAAGCATTGGAGCTCCTCCATCATCTTCATACATGAGGAAGATGGATTTGCTGCTTCGAGAGATGAGACTCCTGAATACAGTGGTTGCTACTCACCAAGGAACGATGATGGCATGGAAAACGCAGATGATGTTTCGGTAAGAATGCACTCTCAAATGTGATCCTTATTGTTCTCATTGTTCTCACTGTTTCATCTACCACTCAAGAGTTCAATCAATTCAACTTTGGTGAATCGAACTACTTCAAAGCATTACTCACAAAACCAATCATGCTTATAGATAAAGCTGCCTTAACAATGGGTACTTTCTGTATTGGTCTATACGTATAAAATACATATATTTTGGGTATAATACACATCATTTATTTCATGTGGAACTTCTGCTAATGGCTGTGCACAGTTGCACCCATTGGTGATATGTGCACCTCAATTGACATTGGTTGAGTTAGAAGTCAACACTATTGTGGCCTAAGAATGGTGTATGCATGTCAACACTATTGTGGTGGAGTTCTTTCAATCTGTCATGCACTGATGATTGAGTTCATTGGTGAGGCCTCCTTCATTTTAGAAAAATACTTCTCTGCAGACCTCAAATTATTCGAATCTCGCTCGAATCGATTAGAAAGATTATCAAATCTAATTTTTGAAAACAATAATAGTAAAATCACACTCGATAATTAATATTAGATCGGTCTTAATATCATCTTTTATGATATAATCTAATAAGACATAATATGTCAAGTAGTGTCTCATTAAATCTTTATAAACCAACTCAAATCTTTATCACAGGAAAACAGTCTTCCTTTCTGTCGTCTACACAAATCTAGCAGATGGGTATCCAAAGAAGAAACGCATTTAACTGTAAACAACTGTCCGTCTGTTTCTCCAGTGAATGACAAAGAGTTGACTTGATGTTTCTCGGATGCCTGTGACTTTCAAGAAACAAAGAGAAGAGAAGAGAGAGAGAGAGAGAGAGATGTGACAGGCTGAGAGCCGAGGCTGTCACACTCTCAATCCAAAGGCATGCTCGAATCCTACAAGCTTACCATAGGAAACCACTAAAGGCACACTTTAAGAGTAAGTTTTGGATCAAACAAACGAGTCATCATCATCAATGCACTGCTGCTGCTCCGCAGTTTGCATGCACACCGCTCCAAGTGTGATGCGTAGTATACGTAGCAGCAGCTTTCATGCATTGAAGAAAGAGAGAGAGGGCGAGAGGAAGGAAGGAAGGAAGAGAGGCGTCGTTGATGTGACATGATTGCAGATGGGTGGCCACAGTAGTTAATGCACCCATGTGCATGCGAGGGCACTCTTCTTGATGATTCCAAGGTTTCTCCATCCACCGCAGTCTCCTCATCGAAGAAGAAGAAGAAGAAGAAGAAGCAGAAGTACTTGACTCTCGAGGCTGATGAAACCTCCATAATCCTCAGACAACCCACCATGTCTGAGGGCAACACATACGGCAATGTTGTATTGCAACTAAAGCAACAACACAGTTGACGTAAATGCAAATTCTCCATATATCAATGTTTATTGATCGAATTAGTTGACAGAAATCAAAACAAGCAGATGAGATAGTGGGCACACTGTAAACCCTAGAAATCTTAAAATATCATCATAATTCTATCCTAAAGAATTCCACATTCCTTACTATATGTTTATTCTTTGTCAAAATTTGACCAAGTGTAGATGGTTTAGTCAACTTCTATCACACGTATAATCATACAAAAATTATATCTTTTTTTATCTTCCTATTATCATTAAATTAATAAAAAATAATTAAATTGTAATCTTTGATTTATAATTCATTTTGTAGTCTTTTTCCACAGTAGTTGGGAATGTTTTTGATGTGCAGAAGAATAAGTCTCAGTAATTAGTAGCTTAATTAACCTAAATAACCGATATAACTATCTGTATATATATTCATAACTTTTTGTGATTGTCTTTTTCTCAGTCTTAATATAATCCTATCTATCTAATACACCCTCGCACGTACACGTACACGTACACGTACACGTATACGTGCGAAGACGTAAATAAGGAGAGATCACCGACCCACACGGCTTCTTGGATCGGCAACTCTCTCCAGCACACCGTACAGCATATCGTTCCTCCCACCTTTGCCACGTAACCAGGCTTGGGTGGGTCCCTCTCTCGGCACGCTCCTTCCTCGAAGAGGCTGAAGCGCGTCGCCCACTGGGAGAAGTAAGAGGAGGGAGAGGAAAGAGGACCACGGCTTCTTGCTTCCCCCCGGAGATCTCGGCGAGACCGCTACCACCGGAGATTATTTAGAAAAGACAGAGAGAGAGAGAGAGAGAGAGAGAGAGAGAGAGAGAGAAGGTGGGTCAAGCAAAGAGAGAGAGATGGAGGGGGAGGATGATGATGTTTTCTTCGGTTTGACTCCTGCGGGGATTTGATTTGGATTCTGATTGCTTCCTCGTAGTTTTCTGCCTCTTTCTTTGGTGAATTCCATTTTCTTTTGTTGCATGTTTGCCTCCCCTGCGTCTTTCCGTTTGTCTCTGGCTCGTTCATGGCGGAATGAGGTGTTGGCTCTTCTTGGATTCGACTCCATCTGAAATTGACTTGCTGGATTCGAATCCTCCTCTGGAATTCCTTTTCAGTTATCAAGTTGTAACCTTTAATTAGTTTCTCCGATCAAAATCGAAGCTTTTGTGCAGTTTCCAGACGTCCGCTTGGTCATTAATGTCTCTGTTCAGTTATCATCTGAATTCCTTCCAATTCAATCTTCTTTCCCTTTCTTTCGGTGTCTTCCTTTTGTTTTTGATCGTGAATTCACTATTTCTGCTCTGTTGGGGTCTCTCGGATCGATAGAAGGTTTCATCCGTTTGGGGTTTCTCGTCATCGAGAAATGCGAAAGAAGACTCTCTCTGGGAATGTTCCTAAAGATTACTCTTTTCGGATCGCGTGACGATCTCCCAAGGCGTTGCTGAAGTCCGTCAGCTCATCTCTCTTCGATTTCCCCTGTTTCTCTTCGCCATGGGCTGCACGGGCTCGAAGCAGCTCCGACGGGACAGCGGGCGGAGCCCCAGTCCTTATTCTCGCAGCCACTCCCTTCCCATCCGTTATGCTGGCGTCGCCGGTGGCCGGTCCGGGGATGGCCACAACGCCGTCGTCCTCTCCTCCACCACTCTCGGCTCCCTGGTGCTCGACCGCGGCGACCTCAGCTCCGACGACGAGACGATGGTGAAGAGCGCCACCAACCTCCAGATGGCGACCGCCGTCATCGCGAAGGAGCTCGGCCGCGCCAGGACGTGGTCTGAGATTACCGACCGCCGGATCCCCAAGACCCCGACGATGACTCCGCCCGACGATCCCGAGGTCATCAACGCCTGGGAGCTCATGGCCGGCCTCGAGGACGCCAGCCCCCTCAACCTCCCCCCCCCTGCCGCCCTCGACCGCTCCTCCTCCTCCCACACCTCGCATGACTCCCGTCGCTCGCCACCGGATTCCGAGCTTTCGAGTGGCTCGTCCTCGCCTAAACCGCAGTGGATGCAACTCAGCCCAGGGGACTCCGTCATCTACGATTTCGACCCGGAGATCTTGTCCTCCTTCCGTCAGGCCCTCGACGAGCTGTCGCCGCAGCGTCAATCCTATTCCATCGATCAGCCTATTGAGCCCGACAACGTGGAGGAGGAGGAAGAAGAAGAGATGAAGAAGCCATCTCATGCAAGAACACGAGCATTAGAACCCGCCAAGGGGCCACCGTATCAGTCCCATTCCATTCCTCAGCCTCCCGAGTCTGAAGACGAGGAGGAGGAGGTAGAGGAGCCATCTCATGCAAGAAGACGAACAGTAGAGCCTGCCGAAAGACCACATCATCAATCCAATTCCATCTATCAACTTCCCGAGCCTGAGGAGGAGGAGGAGGTGGAGAAGAAGCTATCTCATCCAAGAACACGAACAGCAGAGTCCGTCGACAGCCGCCAAGTTCCAACACACACCAGCATTGTCCGAGCAAGGATCAACGAGTTCCAACGAAAGATCGACGCTAGGAAGACCAACATCAACGCCAATTCGGCAAAGGTGGCGCCTTCCTCCAAATGCCCGCCCGGCGGTGAGGGGAAGGTCGTCCTCTACTTCACCAGCCTCCGTGGGATACGGAAGACCTTCGAGGACTGCTGGGCCGTCAGCATGATACTGAAAGGCTACGGTGTTCGCGTCGACGAAAGAGACGTGTCGATGCATGCAGGATTCAAGGAAGAGCTAATCGACATACTGGGGCCGGTGTACGGCGGCCATAGGCTGCCGAGGATCTTCGCCGATGGGAATTACTTGGGCGGGGCAGAGGAGGTGCGGCACCTGCACGAGGCGGCGCGACTGGGCAAGTTCTTGGAGTGCTGCGAGACGATGCCATCGCGGGGGAAAGGAGGCAGCGTCATATCGTCCTGCGAGGGGTGCGGCGACGTCAGGTTCGTGCCCTGCGAGACGTGCTCGGGGAGCTGCAAGGTGTACGTGGAGGAGGAAGAAGACGACGTCGGAGGGTTCCGGAGGTGCTCCGACTGCAACGAGAACGGGCTCGTGCGGTGCTCGCTGTGCTGCTGACGCTGCGCCAAGTGTTCGACGGATTGCTGTTGCATGTACAGAAGGAGATGAAGGAAGCATAAAGGAGTTTTGAAAGGTTTATTTAGCTTCTTTCATCTTTTTCTTTGTTTCAGTTCCATTTCCTCTTCTTCTTCTTCTTCATCATCATCCAATGCTTTGTGTTCTTGAGTGAGGAAGACACAGCTGAGAAACCCATCACCATGTAATAAAATTAAAGCAATACAACCTGGACATCAGGGATCAAATCCTCTGTTCTAGCTGTGCTGATTTGAAAGCTCAGCTTCTCATTCTTGGTCGTTGGGTGGTAGACCACACCTCACCAGATTCTGAAATCTCAAAGACAATTCCATTGTTGATGCTGCAATCCAACAACTTGATGCATGTCAAAATCCACACATTACAGTTCTGAGGCAAGCAGTGCAACCTTCACAGGGACTTGTCACTGTTGAGATCACTGAAAAGACCAATACTTTATCCCACTTTTAAGATTAATGTGGCCTCACATTACAGTGGTCATGACAGATAAGATTTGTTTTCAGAACTTTATAGGTGGACTGTCACCACAAAGGGTCAGTAGCTTTACAGATCACTCAGATCCTCTGGAAATTGCACACATTTCTCGATCTTAAACCAAAAGAGAAGAATGTATTGGAATCCATATCACCCCAGAAATACTAATCTGAAGACACAACAGTGTCACTGCACTCCTTAGCATTGGATCATTTCTATTCCCCCAAGAAATTTGAGCAAGCAATTCTTGGAATGTCATGGATCATAATCTGCTGAACACAGGATCTGAAAGAATTAAAAGGATGCTGTGAGTTGGTGTCAGAAACCTGGATTGGTCAATCTGGATCCTCAGACCCTAAATCCACTCTGTGATAACCAGGTTGGTGCTGCATCTAAATCTGAACAAGAATAGTTGCATGCACAGAAGACAAACCAGAACGAGCTGCATAGATATGTTGAGGTGGGCTACCTCTCATTTCCACAAACACTTTTGTTGCATTGCGTATCCCATCACAAAATGAGATCTTGTGCCTGAGACAAGCGAAAGTGGAGCATAATGACCTAAAGAACAGCCTGATTTGCCTATGGATTTAAGGACAAAGGCCAAAAGATTGCCGGCAAAAAGATGAACTTTACCTGGAAGAATCTTTACTCAATGAGCATGTTCCTGCCACTGGGGATGGAGGACCAAAGCTATTCCTGCACAGAAAAGACTGCAAGTTACAGATCTGGAAGACATAACTGATTCAGATTTGTGATCAAGTGACAGAAAGAACAATTCAGATGCTATTCTAAGTTCATCTCATCGAGCCGAGGAAAACTGTCATCAGTGTGCGGTAGAAGCTTGGATCAGCTTCTCAACTTCTTTAGAGTCTTCATCATTTTATCCTATGCAGTGTCAGTTTAGGATATCACAAAGGATTCATCAATTCGTCGAATTGACGACAGAGCTTCGTTGCTCGGCACGGGGAAATTGTGCGCTTATCGAGGATAATGATAGCTTGCTCAGCATTCGATTCCATCACAAGGTCAGTGATTCCTTCTCTGCTGGCTAGTCTTAAGCCCTTCCTGATTGCTGCAGGCTCGTTGCAGAGACTTCCTTTCACAGCATTAAAATCATCACCTGCCAAAATACAAAATCCAGAATCAGTTCTTGATAAGATGGAGTGGGATCCATAGTCCTCTCGGATTGGGGTAGCAAAGTAAGAACATGTCTTCTTACTCCATGTGAGCAGCAGTGAGGACTAACCTTCCTCTACTCCATCTCGATGACCATCACCAGTAATAGGCGTGGAGGATAAGTTTACGTGCCAAATGCTGTCGACATCTTTCGTGGCTGCCGTTTCCAAGTGGCGGATCCACCCGGAACTCGATTCGCCCACACAACACCGATAAGTCACACGCGAGGCCGCCGGAGCAGCACCGTCGGTGGTGGTGGCGGCGGCCACCGGTGGTTGTCATTTCGGAGCTGCTGCAGTTGATGCACAGAGACTTACGAGTGTTTTGGATGCTTCCATTTGGGTAATTATTTGATTCGAAGAGAAAAAGATGACTATTTTTTGTAATTAATAAAAAAAGGAGAACTTTGCAATAATTCAATAAAAAAATTAGTATTTTTTTTCAACAATAAAAATAAAAAAATCCGGAATATTTTGGATAAAAAAGGATTTTATGAACAGATTTTTGATTGGTTAGTGAATTATTGTGCAAGTGATAGCTCTCGAATTGAAGTCTATTGTGCTATTTAATGTCATGAATTTATAGAAAAATATTTTTTTGAGGAAAAAAGAGATGTGAGGGGAAAACTAAAAAGTGAAAAGTAAATATGATTTTTTTATTATTCTAAAAACTCAATAAGTCAATAAAAATATTCTTCTTTAGGAAGAATAAATAACCTTAGTAAGATTTTTTTAAGTAAAATAATTGGAAGGGATAAAAAGCAGTTGAGGGAAAGAATCAGATGGGAGAGTATAAATAAATAAATTGAAGGAAAAAAAGGGAAAAGAAAAAAGAAAATAAAATAAAAATGAGAGGAAAAGGGAAGGGAAGAGAAGGCAATAGAAAGAGGGGCGGGAGGCAGCCAGAAAAGGGAAGGAAACGAGCTGCTCGCGGAGGTCGAAGCGGATGAGGCGCTGAGCACTCTGGGCACCGTTGTGAAAGGATCGCAAGGACGGGTCGAATCGAAAGAGAAGAAGATTACTCTCTCTGAGGAGCAGGAGGAGGAGGAGGAGTACCAACAACAAATGTGAGAGAGGGGGAGGAAGAAGCGAGGAATAAGAGATCGTTACCAGCTTCTTTTTGATTCTCAAGCTGGCAAGGCTTCTTTGCCTCCTCCTCAGTGTTGTTAGTCCACATGTAAGTTCAAGAAATCTTCTTTTCTTCTACTTACCATGTTACTTCCCATACCCCCGCGTTGACAATGATAGGAGAAAAAGGATGATTTTTTGGCAGATATTGTGGGATTTTGGTAGTATATCTTTGCATCGCCCGCTGTAGATTGCGGAGAACCGAAAATTTTGGAATCTTTGGTGTTGGTTTGGTAGAAATTGGGACATCTGTGTCTGCGGTCGTCCTTGCTAGGGTTTTACCTCTTTAAGATCTTTTTTCTTTTGGTGATTGATGTTTTTTTTTTCTTTTCTTACCCGAACGTTTGCATATTGCAGGATGCTTCCTTTTCTCGTGTAGCAAGATCGACAATTCTTCGTCCTGATTGGTAGGGTTCCCCGGAACACACGAAAGATTGGATCTTTATGGAAATTTCTGCTTGTCTGGTCTTTCTCGAGGGAATTTTTTCGGTTCTGAGTGGTGAATTTGATCCGCAAGATAGTTCGCTTGATCTGTATTCTTGTTAATGAAGTTTCTTTCTTGTCTCCCCTTTCTTCTTGTATTAATTTATTCACCATGCTGATGTTTATTCCTCTCTAGCAGATTGTGGATTCATAACTTTGAGAGGGGCATAGGTAGATATCTCAAACTTGTTTCCAGTGAGGGCCTGGATTTCGGTCGCGCGTCGAAAACATGTTGGAGAGCCAGTCGTTTTTGATCTCCAGAGCATTGCCGAGCTCCTGTGAGCAAGAATCGAAATTGGCTTACATGACTTACCATCTCCTTGAGATCACTACCAACAAACGCCCTACGATCGTGGAATCTTTAGAGCTAAATGAAGCTGCTATGATAAAGAAGGCTAAATCTGCAGACGACCTGGGACCTCCCTTTCAGGAAGAAAAAGCATTGCCTCTTGATGAATCCAATTATAATGGCCAGCACTCTGATACAAATTCTCTTATTGGTCAAATCGGCTGCGACATGTCTATAAAGTGTCTCCTTCACTGCTCTCGGTCGGACTTTGGTGCCCTTGCATCGCTGAACCGGGCTTTCAATTCCCTGTTCCGGACTGGTGAGCTCTACAAGCTACGGCGGCAGACTGGGATCATCGAGCACTGGGTGTACTTCTCTTGCAACATACTTGAGTGGGAAGCATATGATCCCTATTGTGGGCGCTGGATTACTCTTCCAAAAATGCCTCAGAATGATTTCTTCATGCGCTCTGATAAGGAATCGCTGGCTGTGGGCACCGAGCTCCTCGTTTTTGGAAGGGACTACACCTCGCGTATTGCCCATATAGTGCTGAGGTATAGCATTCTGACGAATTCTTGGTCCCAAGGTATTGAAATGAACTCCCCTAGGTGCTTGTTTGGATCCGCCAGCTTTGGCGAAGTAGCTATCGTTGCCGGTGGTGTAGATGCTCAAAATACTATATTGAGTTCTGCAGAGCTCTATAATTCTGAGACGCAAACGTGGGTAACACTTCCTAGCATGAATAAACCAAGGAAAATGTGTTCAGGTGTCTTTATGGACAACAAGTTCTATGTGATTGGCGGAATGCGTAGCCCTACCGAATTGCTGACGTGCGGGGAAGAATATGATACGGAGAGACATAGCTGGAGGGTCATTCCAAATATGTCTCTAGGACTGAATGGTCCAAGTGGTGCACCTCCATTGGTGGCAGTAGTCAATAATGAGCTATATGCAGCTGATTATGCAGAAAAGGAGGTCAGGAAGTATGACAAGGAGAATAACTCTTGGGTCACTCTTGGAAGATTGCCTGAGAGACCAGATTCAGTGAACGGTTGGGGTCTAGCTTTTCGGGCTTGTGGTGATCGACTCCTAGTGATCGGTGGACCGAGGGTGCTTGGGGGAGGGATGATTGAACTGAATTCATGGACACCGAGAGATGGACCTCCAGAGTGGAACCTGATTGCTAGGAAGCACTGTGGAAGCTTTGTGTATAACTGTGCTGTAATGGGCTGCTGAGATTTGTCTGAAGATACGCTGCATATCTTCTTGCAGTACGAGTATGTGCAAGATTGGCTGGTCAAAGGGCATAAAACACCGATTGTGCCAGGGCACTCTGGCTTTCGAAAATTTCAGATTTGATAGGGCAATCACTTTCTACTATGTAAAACTCGAGATACATCTTCTTCCTTTCATCTTCTAGCTTTGCCTTCATCTAATCTAAAGCCAAATATATTTAACTTCTTCCAAATTGCCCTTCAACAGGATAGTGTTCTCGTGGATCATGCAGGAAAATGGCACATAATAATTCGGTGTAGCTGCATGTTCATTGGTTCCCTTGGAACTCTTCGAGCTTGTTAGCTTTCCAGTGTACTACTCAGCCATTTCATTGTTATTGCCACTTTCTTGAGGAAATAAAATTGATCATCAATTTCTTGTATATTTGCGCTGACAATTTTACTTCTTTCCAGCTTACTGTTCTTGGGCTTAAGTTGATATTCGTGTGACATTTTTCTCATCAATCTCATAGTTACTAGTATGTTTTCTCAGAAACTGTTTGGGTGTATCCTTTGCATCGTACTTACTCTTCTTGGGCTTAAGTTGATGCACATGTGACATTTTCCTCATCAGTCTCATGATTACAAATATGTTTTCGCAGAAATTGTATTGGGTGTATCCTCTGTAGTTGAAGGTTTATTTGATGTAATATGCATGAACATCTTCATCTAATTCTCTGTGTAGGTGGTGTCAGTCATCAAACACCGGATTCCTCTCCTCTCCAATTTAAACATGCAAACTTAGGAAGATTTCTGAGAAGCAACCCTAGTTGGACAAGAATGGAGGTAATTAAGAAGTCTGGTCAACTTTCATACTTGGACTAAGTTAGACAATGGATTTTCTTTTATCTTGGCATTACTCTGCTTCTGCTTCATCCCTGTAAAAATGATTAAAATGTTAAACCTTAATAGTCACATCTACTTATTACCTGAAGCATGCTGTTTAATGTTTCCAGCTCTGCATTGTTAGTTTAGTTATCCTATAGATAAAACTAAAAGAAGACATCTGTAGTATTCTTATACTACAGATAATAGGAGGTTGGAGATTGACAGATCTTTATGCTCTTGATGCTTGATAGACCATTCTTGATACATATGCTCTGATGTCGAAACCATAACATTAAGAATAATGTTCTTATTATTTTCAGCATTGCATTAATTTTTTTACTTCCTGTTCAAAGTTGCTAATTTGACATCAATGAACTCCATACTTGAAGCAAGAAACCACTTTTTTATCTGCTTTTTTTGTTTTATTAATATTTTGCTTTTATGTTTGTGAATATACAGGACAATGTTCTTATTGCACTAATGAGACCATCATATTTTGCAGAATCAGAGGGGGTAGTCGAGTTGCAAGTTTTATGGGGTTCTACACGTATGTTTAAGATTGAACTCTTTTAATTACTTTTCTATGCCTGGAGTTTGATGCTCGCCCATTGTCCATCTCGCATCTGTCTTTTTTATGGATCCATAAGGATGAAGACTTACTGTGAAAACATATGTGCAATTATTGAACATATTAAATAGAAGAAATTAATTGATGAGGTTATTTCCCTGAGATAAATGCCTGCTGTTAAGAGTGGGAAGCTGTTTTCTGTTAATGTGGCTCGATCAGCCTCTTGTATGTTTATATCTCCGTTTCTACTTGTGCTGAGGTAAAATTATGTAAGAAAAGAGTTTCTAATGCATCAAGGTTTCATTTGGGTTTCTTTGCTGGTAAACCGACGAAGGATCCATTTCAAAATGGAGGGCTACAGCAGACTTTCAATTTGATATACAGATATTATCACAGACTTAGTTGATTTTATGATCAATTTTTTCGAAACTTCTTATAATATATTAAGGACCTATAGGAAAAAATACAGGTTAGAAGAAGCATTTAATTCAGGATGCAATCAGCAAATACTTAAAAGGTAATACAAATTATAAATATAGATTTTTGAATCGTTATATGACAGGGTTCAAGGCAGTTTTCCACGGTCAAAAATCTCCGTAAGTGTTTAAATGACATTACTATAGAATAAAAGAGTGAACTAGTCCTAGATACTACCTCAAACGTTCATCCAACCATGTGTCACCTAGATAGTTACTGGGTGTTGTACTAATTAATACTCTGTACTATTATACGGAGCTAGAAAATCTTTAAAATAACTACTTGTATGGTTTGTTTCTTAATGATTGCAAAACCGAAATACACGGATATACACGAGTATTATATTGAACCTCTTATTTACAATTTTGTTTGTGACATTCTCCTACACTTATTCTTTCGATGTCCTCATCGAAGCTTTTGCGGATGCTATATCTCCTCGCCTTTGTTAAATATTTAATCTTTTGTTCTAGTTGCAACATGCCTCTTAACTCTCAACTGCTCTCCGTTATTGTTTTTTGAGTAGTTGAACTTTGATCCGCTATGCTACTTCAATCTACCAATGACTCTGACTCTACTGTGGGGTTACCTAAGTTATGGTGAGCCTTGTTAGTTCCTGCGGATCCTCTTGACTCTCAACTGCTCTCTGTCATTGTTTTTTAAGTAGTTGAACTTTGATCTGATATACTACTTCAACCTGCCAATGACTCTGACTCTAATGTGGGGTTACCTAATTTATGATGATCCTTGTTAGTTCTTATGGATCCTTCGGATGAAGGAAAAGACCTTTCTTGTTTTGCGCTAGTCTCTTAAATATCTCGTACCGATTGAACTAGGTAGATACTTGTTGGAGCTTTAATGAGCATCGATTCACCGACTTTTAAGTTTTTGAAGTCTTTCATCTATAAAATGTCCATCAATTCCTCTTCCACTTAGTTATTGCCTCAAAGTATGTCCTCATCACTTTTACTTTCGATTAGTAAGGTGCATGAGCCTAGAAACTCTCTTCGACTTTGGCACCATGCAAGATAAGTCCACTCCATTAGATTGGGAGACCCATAAAACGACATTATCTCGCTCTTGCCTTTGTAAAAGTTCATATCATTGACCTCAATCCGAAAAAGGTTTGTGCCTGCCTCTATTTAGTATTTTATTTTTTATGCCGACTCACTTCATGTGGTTTGGACATTTTACCAAGTTTTTACGCTTCGTTACTACGCCCCTCGATTTGCATTGAGTTGATGGTGGCCCTTGCGCTTATTGTTCCACTAGTCAACCTTTTGTTAAGTCTAATCTCCACATCGACTCTAAGTGTGCCTTTATTTGGTATTGTCTTGGATCGCTCCCTCACTTGATCTTACAATGCATCCACTAATGCATTATCTCATGCGAGATCATGCAATGACACCTCATCACTCACTCGGTCCATTAAGCTTCGTGGAACTATTATCTTAAGATATCCCTTTTCAATATGTGTAAACTATTATATATGATTTCTCTTTAGAGAAGTGGGACTTATCCTTCTTGGATATTTATCCCATTAGAGCAAGAGAAATCTAGTAAAATATTGAACTTGTTACACATTTCAACCTCCTACAAACGTATCCTTCTCATGCTGAAGAGAAAGTTTCAATGCTCCATAGCTTAAAGTTTTGATCACATTAGGATTGCCACAAATAGTCCATCATTCGTATACAAGCCCTTGCATGAGTATTGAAGTCTTCAAGTTAACAATTTCCCTCACCTCTATGAGCTTTGCACAATTTTTTTGGTCATTAAGCAACTCATCTCTCCTTGCATGGTCTTATCCTTTGCCAAGCGTCTCGCTTGTCTTGAGCACTATTAAGTTTGGTTACCAATGTCGAGCCATAGCTCGAACTCAACCATCCAAACTTTTGTGCACTACATATTCTTCCCAGCTTGCTTGTCCTCGTGATGCCTCCTATATAAAAGGTTAGTCATTCCTCTAAATGCTAATCTTGGATATCCGCTCTTCTGAAGGACTCCTTTCCCTATGTCTCTACGCTTGTTTCTCTCAAACGGTCACGCGTGCTGGTTGCCCTCAATGCAACACTACTAGATCCATCACATTTGCATGTTAAGTGTTTCTAAATGTGCTTATCTCACTCTAATATCATTTATTATGGACTTAGCTGGTTTTGCTTAGGTCATGCGATACTATTGTTGTTCGTTCGCAAATGGTCAACCTCCCCAAAATCTTTTATGATCCCTTAAGAATTTGTAAAAAAGAAAATGGGTTAGAGAAAGTGTTTAACTTAAGATCACACAAGTAGTCATTTCAATAAACACTTAATAGACTATGCAAATTATAAACATAGACTCTGCAAGCTCTCAATAATTGTATGACAAATGGTCCAAAATACTCTATCGCGGTCAAAAATCCCCACAAGTACCCATATGACACTACTACAGAACAAGATAGCGAATTGGCCATAGACACTACCCGAAACGCCGATTCAACCATGTGTCCTTCAGGTAGTTCTTGAATGATGTGCTAATTAATACTCCATACCACTCTGTAAAGTTAAAAAATTCTTAAAATGACTACATGATTTGTTTCTAGATATACCTTTATGCAATGACTATATATAATCTATATTTACAAGCTTGAAATGACTACAGAAATTAATTAAAATGAAGTTATTAAGTAAGTCCTCTATATACAACATTAGCATTATATCAAATACTTGTTTACAATTATTACAATTTTGTCTGTGAGAAGATGACTCATATATCTACATGTTTTTGTTTCGATATCAACAAATCAGATCACAGTTTCTTTGAGTTGTTCACTTAATGTAAAGATGATGTTTTTGCTCTGTATGATCTTAGAATTGATTGGCTTCCTAGTGTGGAGGCTTTGATCTTCTCTTTTTACCCACTACATTGTTTACCTTTTCCTGGTGTTTGTTCTCTCAAGTTTGTTGTAGGTCTTCAGCTTTGAGTTCCTACACTACAACACTTTTGAGTCTTGGCCAATGTTAAGATTATGATTTGCTTTTGAGAGGTTGATTTCAGCAGAACTGAGATAGAGTCACTTGGCAACTAGTAGATTTATATGTGGACATGTTTCATTATGTCAACTGGTAAAGTTATTGATTCTGTCAAGAGGTAAAGAGGTTTTCATATGTCATATTACTTATCTGGAGGATTGGTTGAATGATAAACATTTGCATGAAAATGGGATGATTGATTGTTTGGTTTGTTGCATATGAGAAAATTCATATGGTTGCCCTATTATAAATATAAACATCATCCATGAGTTGCAAGTATTCCATGATCATTAAAAATGTGTCCACAAACAAACACTGACCTTTCTGCAAGTATTTGAGGAACACAGGCTACACCATGGTCATCACCATTTATGTGTTGAACTTGATGTTGACATGAGCAACATTGTTCTAAGTATTCATATGTCTTGAACAAAATCTCACACAAGGCTGCTGGCAAACAAGCTGCCTGCAGCACAAAATAATGTTAAATCCTGTCATTACACTGCATGCTTCTCTAAATTTCTGCTGCAGGAGTTGTGTGGTTCTGCCACTCCGTAAGCATAAATCCTCACCAATCTGGCCTTTGTTGTGTCATCTCCTAACCCACAAAACCTTTCCACCCAGCTATTAGTGTCAACATGAACAAGGTTATGCAGTTGTCATTCTCTATCACTATATCTTAAGTTTTTCGGTTCTTCTGCTTGTAGTTGTGGCCAGCACGATAAGAACGATAATCATGAGCAACGCAATGGCTAAGAAGAGCCTCCATGGTAAACATCTGTAGAAGCTGCCAGAAGCAGCCTTCTGCGGTTCCTGCAGCATCAGCAATAAGATCTATTGTCAGCCCAACTTTACAACGTCGATATTATTACAAGTTGTACTCAGGCTTCTTTATCTTTTTCTGCACATAGAATGTTGCTGATAAGTTAAGATACATCAAATCAAGCCATATGAAGTATGAACTACCAGCAGAAACAAGCACAAGTTTCAGAAAACTATCAGCTTATAAAGATATAAGCATCTCAAGAAAATTGAAATCTCGGTCTAATTGAAACAAGAGAATGGCTCTCAATGAATAAACTACAAGAAATAATACAATGACCTAAATATTTAATTGCAATGGGTAAGATACGCACTTCTTCAAGAATTGGAATTACAAGCTAACAGAAAAATCAACAAATGCAAAGAGCATAATGAATATTAACAAGTAATCATGAGCTAAATATTTCTGAATAATAGATAGGATACTTCAAGTACTACTCAATGATGAATTCATAAATAATATAAAAAGAAATTAACTTGGAGGATATCACAAGCATTTGTCTGAGTTCACGTTTTCATACAGATCACAGAAATATCAAAACATTTTCACACCGCCAAACTTTCCACTTAAAATTTGCATCTTCAAGGTGTAAACCAGAATTCAATTAATTTGCACTGAAATATAGGAGGATATACATGAAATTTCCACCTTTCTCTATCTTGAACACTCTATTTTCTATGTTCTCACTAAAATATATTTAAAATCTATTTTCTCACTACAACAAGGTAGCTGGAAATGGAATCCCAAAGGACTAACATATTTTTTTAGGCCTCGCTGTATAATAAATAAAACCCACTGTTTAAGACTAACCACTTCAGCCATCAGGTCTCCATCTGGTTGAACAAAAATGTCTTCAGCATTTTGCATGAGATGTTTTTGCTGCAGCATGAATATATTTTGAGCATGTTTGTAAAGTTCCACATCAAGATTGTTCAGATGTTGGATTTGCTGCAGAACCGTCATAGGAACAGAAACGCGTGCCTGAAAATCCAATTTACTTGCTGATCAGCACATGGATATCTGAAGCACCTTATCCCATTTTAGTCATGGCGTGAATAATACACCTAATCAAGAAACTAGCACATGAAAACTTTAGGAAATGCTTGTTTGTTGCATAACAACCCGACAGGATCATAAAATAAAGAGCATAAAATAACCCAATTTTGACTCCAACATAAGTACTCAGAGTGATTAAATATTCTAATAATAGGTGATGATCAAAGTAAAACAACACTCTATAAAGAAATAGAGAAGTGAATCTATGTATGGATGTCGGACACAAATATGGTTCTTAGAGTCTTACATGGCTAATATTCTAGTTTTGGTTTTGGAGATAAAAAGGTTCAAATTCAAGACAGCCACAGAGATACAGTTGCAAATTAAAAAATGATATACATTAAAATATTTTGAAAATTAGTCATCATGACAATATATATACAAAAACATATTCAACTATTTTAGAGTATGTTCAATTTGTCTCTTTTGTATTCTCTTTTACTTCTATTTGTTTCTCTTATTTTATTCTCTCTCCTCTTCTCTTTCTTCTCATCAAAGAATGACTGAAATGTTGGAAACAAATCCTTTTTCATAAGGACTATGGGATAAGAAGAACCATAGGATTTGAATCCCACGACTGACAGGATCTAATAAATGAGGAGGTTTTACTTCTTCCGGTTATCTCTCACCTTATTTCTCTGAGGACCCTTCTCCTCCGACCTTTTCTCACTCATTTGCTCTCAAATAATGCCAACAGCAACAAGAGAAAGTGACTGGAGGTGTGCATGATGCTCCTTTTCCCTTCTTCCGCCTCTAATTTTTATTCTTTTCCATCTTCTTCTTCCCTCCTCTTATTCTTCTTCTCCACCATGTGGAATCAACTAAGAATCATTTGGAATATTGCACATTGTGTCAGCATAGGCTCAGAGGGGAATATTACCTGGTCCAAGCACCATAGCAAAAAAGTACAAACCCGGAAATATATTAATGGGATAAATCAATGTCCACTTGCAATTAAGATCCCATTTACAGGAAGTAACAGTCTACTCTAAATTCCAACTTCAACGCCCTCAACCCAACCCCACCCCACCCCTGAACCACCTTTGCTTTATAGTGTATAGCATTTCCTATGCCTTTTAATAATGCTAAGAGATTTCAATAAGAGTTTAAGTTGTTGAATAATAGAACATGCGTGAAAAAGAAATTCCTGAATGTGAAAGAGCAACGTAACTCATCATAAGATGCTATTTAGAGAAGTAAAACACCCATTATTACTACTAAAGATTCAATGGCGGAAGGTCTTTTCACCATCTTCTGAACATATAAATAGTTACTTAACTGGCACCAATAAAATCTACACATCGAACTTGAGACCTTTGCAATTGGTAGTATTATGCCAGACAACTGTGTACAAAAAGGAATATGAGACAAAATGCAAAAACAAAACATATTGTGGGTAACCAGTTTTTAGGCACTTGCAATTGCCAAGGAAATATGAATCAAAAGAACCACTATATCTATGTCCAGACTATTTCTGTTGTTCTTGGCTCCCTAGAAAATAGCAATTACAGTAAATAACGAAAGATGACTGGTTACGAAGTATAGGAGTGTAGGAGAGAAATTTTTTAACTGAGTACCCGACTGAAAGTATTTGACAACTGATCTTCAATATCATGTCAGTTCATGGGAACTTGCACCAATATGCACAAATTAGTGAACACAATGAAACATTAAGAAAGGTGCAAGTGTACAATAATAATTCAGAACTTCTTACTATCTCCCGCAGCCTACCTGCTTTGAGAAGTTTACAGGAGCAACCCTTTTCAGAGACATAGTACGGCGAGATGCTTGAGATTTTCGTAAAGTAGAAATGCATGATTCATAGATCTCCATCAACGTTCCAACCGACATCTGACAGTAATGAAGATATTACTTGTGCAGAACAAAGAACAACAAGCCAACAAAAATCTGAAACTAATAATCTAATAAAGAAATGAAACAAAAGGTATCAAGTCCATGATTCAATAATAAAAAAGAGCAAAATTTTAATCAAATTAAACTTTATAAATGGTATTACATTTTCTCTTGTCAGTTCAAAATGTGTTGGAGAAGGAACTTCACTGTCTTTTCTAATGTTGGTGCTACCCTGTCACAAAAACAAGGCATGCAATAGCTTCATAAATAATCATTATAAGTAATAAAGTGGCTCTATGAAGAATTACCTCAAACTGGTTTGACCCCTTAGCTTTGGGATCTGGAAAAGAAGTTGGTCCTGCAAATAAGATTAAAAATGAATAAGAGTTTCCAAGTGTTTTTGCCCTTCTAAAGTCATTTATACAACAAGAATTAGCACAACAAGACAAGTGAAGAATGTGTTGCTATAACCCAGACAAATTTTTTGGTCGGAAGTTATTTGGCCAATGGTGGCTTTTTTTTCCATTATTTGAGCAAGTAATCAGCTAGGAGAGAAAAGGGCTCACAATGGACACAAAATATTATACCTTATGCTATATCAGGACTTGCATCTTTTGAATCTCATGTAGTTTAAGTGTCCTCACATGACAGCATGTGTCAAGTGATATGAGTAGCACGATATAAAGCACGGTGCATATAAAATAAATACAAAAGCAGTGATACTTCATGATTAACAGTAAGAATCAAGTCTTCAGTATACCAGTTTTGTTGGATATTGCCTGCTTGAAATCAGAGTTCAAGGCTTCTGACTGGGAGAGAACTTGTGCTCCAACCAATTTAGCAAACAAGGTGGCAGATTTCTTGTGCTCTTCAGTGAGGCCAACATATAGCATATGATTCAACCTACGCTGTAGCATTTAGAAGCTGCGACTACTAGTCAAAACAAAGAATGATGTGCATAAATTACAGTAGTATGCAATGAAATCTGGCCTCAGTTAAGTGCACCTTTGCAACTTCAAGTACAAAATGGCCAAGTTCTGGGTGTTTCTGTACACAATTACGCACATCATGTGAATCTACCTTACATGAGTTGTTCGTTAGTCCTGCTACCTGTTGTATGACTTTGTTAAAATGAAATCATATGTTGACATTACATTAAAATCTCAGGAAATGAAATTTAACAAGGACTGTTCCACATCCAGTTAATGGTACAATGTGGATATCACCTGACACATTACCTGAATGGAATCCACAGAAGCAGTTGGAACAAAATATAACATATTGAAATAATGCATGTATCACAAAGTTGACATAAGTCAAATGAGAACTGAAAGCAAAAAATGGAATATATTTTGAGATCTAAAAAACAGCTTTAGTAACAAAAACTGCAAGTCAAAGGCTTGATCAATAGACGGACTTAAAGATCAAGAAATTAAAGTTACATCTATTAATATAATAGAAATTTTCTTTTTGTGTCAGGACTGCAGGGTGTTTATTTTTTCTTCTCTTTTGCATTTTTTTATAATTTAACAGACAAAGTATCTTCATCCAAAAATAAATTTAACAATAGTTTTTGCCTAAAAAACGTTTGGACTGTGCATCCAAACAAGTTAAAGCAGACAGAGTTCATCATTACATTACCAATATAATCTAACTAGTCTTAAAATTATCATCACCATGAAGTCCCTTCAATTCTCAGAACAGTACCAACACAAAACAAGTATAATCTACAAAAGGTACTTAAGTTGAAGCAATTTGATCTATATCAATTCTTGAATTCTTCCTTTTTTTGGGAAAAGCAACACCTTGATGATCCCTATATCTATATGCAACAAAATTTTTAACTAAATATAAATAAAACAAAAGAATGCCTTCTGTGAAAAAACAAAAGTGAAAATTTAGCTACATTTTTCATGAGCAGGAATACTGCCCTATTTGTGTTGCACTAGTTGTAAAGGGAAATTCTCTGATAAAAGAGGTAAAGATGAATCGCACTTGAAAAGTTGCTCCGTTGTGAATGATCTCATGAGCCATGGGATCATTAATGAACTCATGTAGGGGCATGACAATCTCTTCCACGTCATAGGGATTGGTGATTTCTTTTATCTTTCTAGGTCTCCCAAGTTCTCTAGTATCCCTCTGTACACCATTTTGCTGAAAATGGTTAGAAAGAAATTATCAAGCATAAGCCAAGAGAAAGCTACATGAAGGCACCAACAGTTTGAGAATAAATACCCGGGCAAACAAGTCCTGTCTCATCCAAGGAACTAGATATTTCCATGGCCATATATCCAATGTACTGACACCACGAGACTTGCGGTGTATTTGTCCAGACATCTTGGTTGCTGAAGTTAAATTTGGATGACCAAGAAATCTAGCTGCGACTTCCACAGAAAACTCATATGTGCTGAACACACGATCAACTGGATCCCTAAAGATTGTTACAACTGAGGTCCTATCCTTAGGCAGTTTGGACAGCAAACTATAGTCATCATGAGTAACCATCAAACTGCAATTTGGTTTCCTAGATCATTGAGTTCAGCTATCAGTGTTAAGTATCACAAGAAAAGTAAAACAGCCATTCTAAAAGCACACGTTTTAATTTAAAATTTTTTATGTTTCGAGAATGATTTTCCACATATTCAGGTACTTGATAAAGCTTATGAAAAAGATATCACTCATGTATGGCCAAGTTAGATTTTAAAAGCCAGTGTGCTGATTTTCACCAAACAAAATAATTTAAGTAACTTATTTACAAAGGAATTATATCATGAAAAAAAATATAAACACAGGAAATTTCCAACACTGGCTTTGCTGATGAGATTTTAACAGATTATACTATTATGAATAAATGCTAATAGTAACAATTTTTGGTTCTTGTTGCTTATCCATGCTGACCATCACAGATGTCTCACTTGCTATGTTAATATATGTTCATCTTATTCTTGTTTGACTGAACCCCTTCCTGCACCCTGGCAACTTGGATCTCTTATTCTGCTGAATACTATAACGTTCCACTTGAAACAGTGGTGAACAAGTATGGCCTTGAAGACATAATCATTTTTCATCATAATTGTTCAAAACCATATTCATAGTTATTACTGATTGGAAACCTGTACAAAGTACTCATCAGCTCTATGAAAAATTCCTCTTCAAACCGGCCTCATAATACTTCATCTCCTTCACTGGATTTGTCAGGAATAAGAAGCATGCTTTAACCCGAGTCCTTGGCTATATTCTATGGCTCACTGATTATATGTATATCAGCCGTAACTGCAGGTTCCTCCAAATTTTTACTAGTAGACTTATTGTTCAGTCAACTTCTCCTCTCTATAGTCTCAAACATAGTGGTGTCTGGCAGATTTCCTTAAAAAAGGCTCTCCAAAATTCCATAGTGCAGAATCATACCATCTCAATTATTTATGCATCACCTTGTCATTAAAATTTGATGGATACTCTTGAACACTCCATCGCCTGATCACAATAATCATACCACTCATACACCCAACACTGTGTCATATCTTGAACTACCAACCCTTCAAACAAATTTTATCCCTTCTGCCAACTTATAGAATTTATACCATGCATCTTTAAATCCATCAGCAAGTTAGGAACATTCACAGTTAGTTGTTCTTTAAAGATGATCCACAATGATGCTTACTGCAAATATATTTCCTTATAAGTTATACCTGCATGTTATGGCCCTCATAGTTGCATGCTTAGTTCCGCAGAAATAGATTTACTTATTTTGGCCTAGACTATTTCAAGAAGCTTGCAAGTGAAATAGTAAGGAAGAATATTAACCACTAAAGAAAAAGCATCAAGCATCAAGCATCAAAGAAAACAACTGTGTGACAAAGTTTAGCCTATAGTTAAATTCCAATTACCAAGGATTAAGTAGAACTACCTTGGATCAAAATGTAATTTATCATAGGAACGAGGGCATTCCTGACCACTTGTATAAAGCTTTCTCAAAAAGCTGTCAGTATGCAAGTACATATCAGCAAAAGGGCTCGATATAAGCAAAAACATGAACCCAATCAAGAAACAAGGAAATAAGAACCCCACCAATGGAAGTATGTCCGTCCACCAGTTCTTGGAACATGCAGAAAAAACAGCAAATCCTTTAGTGTTAACTCGCCTTCTTTTGTTTTATCTTCACTTGAATATTCTACCCAATTTCTGACAACACTTTCACAGTGGAAATAATCATCTTCTCCACAAGACACAAGTAATAAAGTTGATGCTGGCAACAAGTACAAGTTTTAATACCCATTAGTTAGTAAAGTGACCCTTCATGAAGTGATGAAGAAATCAAAATGTTGAAGATTTTTCAAATAAAAGTTTCAAGCAAAGCAATATTAAGTCTGATAGATTGTGGATCTTACCAATTCAAAGTCTGAAAAACATTCAAAATACACTCACCAAAACTAAAAGGCATAAATATTTCAGGCTATTCCATTTAGATGTTCATATATCGCATTAACAGTGAAAAAAAAGAAAGCATAACTAATCTAGTTTTGCATGCACCATGAAGGTAAAAGGTTCCACTAGAAAAATGTTGAAATGCGAGAAAAGGTACATGACATTACACTGTAAAAGAGTCCAAAGAGATCCAAAGCAAAAACCAGAAACCTCCTTTCAAGCAGTACCAGCTTTGCTGTCCAGACTTCAGGAGATAATGCATAACAAGACAGGGAATGCAGAAAGATAGCAAAGAGGCATTAACTTGGCAGGTGATACAAATGTAGTGCTAATATCCACAATTAGAGAGAGCAAATGAGTGTATCAAGGAGATAACGCAAAACAAGACAGGAAATGTAGAACATAATGAAGAGGCATGAATTGGCAGTGGATGCTACTGCAATGCTGTTATCCACAATTAGAGAAAGTGCAAGGGTGCAGCAATATAATTGAAGAGAAAACAACTCGTACTGGATGTAACACAAATTACAGCAAGAAATTGATGATAGTTTATAGAGATTATTATTCAACAAGGTACAGTAAAAGACAACCAAACAATAAAACAACATACCCAAAGAGAGGACGATAATCAACATGTGATAGTTATAAATGAATGCCATCCTTATTCCCTCATGTGACAATACCTACAGAAGAATAAAAAAAACATAAAATCAATGATTTTTTTTTTAAGATTAGAAAAAAGAAAACATACCAAAAAACAAGGATTTTAATTTTGAATGATACCGCCCATACCGAGAGGTACGTACCGGTCCGCCAGCAGACCGATACGCGGACCACCCGCTACCGGGCGATATCGTCGATTGGGTTGTTTCTGCCTCGTTACCATCCGAAATCGATCGGTGACGGTCGATTTCAACCATCGTCACCTGCTACCGGGTGGTATTAGCCGAAAGAAGAGGGAGAAGAAAAGGGAGAACCATAAGATCCGACGCCACTCTCCCTCGACGATCTCGATTCGTCGCCACCCTTCCTCGCCGGACGCCGTGGATAAGATGTCACCTTCTCCTTGTCTGAAGCGACGAGGCCTCGACGTCATCAGCGACTTCTCCTCATCTGTGCAGGGAGAAGAAGCATCAACGACATCATGGGGAGAAGAAACCAAGCATCGTTGGGAGAAGGAAACCTCGATTTCTTCTCCCCACGCGGGCAGAAACACGAGGTGACATTGCCTCGTCACCCTGTTTTGCGCAGGGAGAAAAAACTGACCTCATTGCCCTGTTTTGCATAGGGAGAAGAAACCAAACTCAGTTTCTTCTCCCCATGCGGGCAAAAACACGAGGCGACGTTGCCTCATCGCCCTATTTTGCACGAGGAGTTCTCCCCATGCGGGCAAAAACACGGGGCTATGTCACCTCGTCGCCCTATTTTGTGCGGGGAGAAGAGACTTCTCTCATGCGGGCAGAAACATGAGGCAACGTCACCTCGTCGCCCTGTTTTGCGGGGGGAGAAGGAAACCTCAGTTTCTTCTCCCCACACGAGCAGAAACATGAGACGACGTCACCTTTTTTCTTTTACTATATATATATATATATATATACACACACACACACCGAGCGGTATATCAAAATGTACCGCTCGGTATACTTGTTTCGTACCATACCAAGGTAAGCTCGATACTTCAATATGATACAAAATTACAAACTTTGCCAGAAAGAATAACAAGAGATTAAGCCCCATCTAGGGAAGAATTAATATATTAAAAAAAATCAAGAAAACACCACTTTGAAGCACTGTATAATGTCATCCCAAGCAAGTCATCATCTTAATGGAAGATAATATAATTTTAATTGGATCAATCCTTTTATAGCAAATTCGATTGATTATTTGCTGGTCAATTTGAATAGGTAGGTTATATCACTTGATAAGACAACGTGTTAAGTTCATAGGATGGATCAATCTGGCATATAGTTTGATTCTGCTCAGTCTCTCTTACCTAAGTAGAATAAGATCGATTTTTTTTTATTATACTTGCTTGTTTTAAAGTTGAAAAGACCATGCCGTAGGAGAATTTGCTGCTTGCACTCATCGACAGCAGCATAGAGGGTAGCAGTTTCTTTTTGGCGTAGTCATTGGAAACAAAGAGAGTTATATCCACACACTAAAGCGTGGAGAAAGATAAAGGAAAAAGACAGAAACTTTGCTTAGTCATCTGCTTAGGCTTGAAGTCAAACACTCAACTTTACTGTTGTAATTCGCAGCGGCCAACCAGGGGCCTGAAAGATCCGCAGATCCGCGTCGGGATCGGCCGGGGAACAAAACCGGGATACCGATATAAAGATCGGCTTTCAGCGCTGCAAAACATTGACAAAAGAAAGGGAGTAAAAGGCTTACCTTATACGATACCTAGACCGGTGCTGCAGCGGGAGACGGCGGCTAGGGCTCCGGGGAGGGACGGAAGAGCGGCAATGTGGTTGGTAGTCGCTATGGGGAAGAGGAAAACGAGGGAGGGAGGAGTGGGTTCGCCTCCGCCCCCCGAGGCATTGGCAATCGAAGACGAGGGGAAGCTACTGCGCGAGTTTCGAAGTCAAGGTCGGTGGACGTGCTGGTTACCAGACTCCGGATTGCCGAAAACCGGGACCCAACAAGGAGGCCCAGCCTGGGACCCACCACCAGAACCGGCGGGTAGAGAGGACATTCTTGTCTAGTGGACATGTACAATAACCAGGAAAAGAACGACGCGAGACGCATGAGCGGCCACCGGAAAATACTTTTAATTATTTTTCTCCCTATAAAAGCAATTAATGTGATTAATATATAATAATTCTACGATATTCACAAGGACCAAGGCATCACACTCCACAACAAAGACATAAGGAACAAGAGAGAAAAAATAAATAAGATTGAGATAGAAAAGTTCACAGAAATCCACATTAGTTTCTCAGCACTTCCAAACGCGTAAGATCGTGAGTCCTGCTATAGGATGATAGCATCCATGATGAAGCACTGTTCCAACGTATGCAATCTCATGCCAACCCTTTCTTATTGAGCGATCAAAGAACAGTAATAACTTTTTTTTTTGGGAACAGTTTTAACTAGAGAACATTACTAACTATATAGGATATACTACCTCCTATGTTCCATGACTTCGACCATATAAAGTACAACCTACCGACAACATATGATGAAACCTCAACCAAAAAAAAAGAAAAAATTCATGTGGATCTTGGGCAAAAAAAATTAGGAGCAAGGATGATACATAGCATGTCGGCAAAGAGCAAGTCAGCCTGTGATTTGGGGTTGACAAGAAAAGAAAAAGCAACTGCACAAGCATCCCTCTAAGGCAGCAGCAAAGACAATTAGCGACGTGTGTGGCTATTTATCTTATCAAAACTGCTGGTATGTGCATAATCCACCGGTTGGTAGGTATATTTACAGTTACCGGAGGGGAGGGGTGGGGGAGGAGAGTTTGTGGCACCACTGCTTAGTCAACCAAGCCTTGCTTCCTGCAAGATGCTTAAGTAGAGCCAGTGGTAGAATTTTCACCGCTAAGAATGGTATATTTCTCCTGAAGCCATGATCGATTCTCTGACCACCACTTCTCTGCTTGTTGCTCGCTAAATCTTTTTCGGCTGCAGAGAAAACAATATACTCATCAACAAAGCTGCTAGGCATGACAAAATATTTTAATAATTTTAATGTCTTGTTCATGCAGTTGAAAAATAAGTTCCTGAAAATAGCACAACCAGTTGGAATGTTTAATGTTATGTTAAATTCAACTAGGACAATAACCTGGATTTTGTTTCAGCACAAACAATTTTGTTTAATGTCATGTTAAATAGCACGAACAAGTAATATAGGTCTACTATCATAACAAAATTGACAAAATGGACATCATATCTAATTAAGTGGAACAATAGAACTTGATTACAATGCACAAAACATAAGACAAATCACTTCTTTCAATTGTTAAGCCAAAACTGTGGAGTATTGAAACTTATGGATAATAAGAACATGTCTTGAACATAATGGGAGTAATAACTTTTGTTATCCTTTTCAAGACTTGAAAATTTGTGAATGGATATTCTCAGTGTCGGACACTTGAACAAGGCTCAGATGAAGTTAAGAACAGAGTCTCTTTCTTTTATTCTTCCCATAAAAACTCACGAGTCCAAGTACAAAATGTGTAGGAGATACAACTGAAGACACTTACAGTCCCAAAATCAATCCCTCAGTTAACCACAGAAGATGTTGTAAATAGAAACTTAATTATCAAAATCATTATTCAACTAGCTCTACCATTCAAGAGCCTGGGATATTTTCATCCCAATATTATGATATGAAATTTCCTTCTTTTAATTGTATTTTATGCAAGCCGACATTAATCTGAGAGTTTTCTCAAATGTTTACCCTAAATATGAGAGTGACAAAATAAAGTGCTTCCCTTTCCTAATGAAAGGTAAAACTACCAATGCAATGGCTTTATAGAGTTGCTTATATCTGAACTGTACTGGTAGACATTATTGGGCAGTAAGCGCATGCAACAAAGTTGACAGATAGACCCAAAAGAAATATTAACACTAGAGAGAGAATCAAATTTATGTTGATTACAAAAAATATATATATATATGTGATATTTAAAGTGTCAAGGGTTCCATACATATGATATTACAACAAACTAGCATCTAATTTCCATGTTTTATGATATTACTCCGATAAGAAAGAATATTGAGGTAAATAATGACAAATGGATAAGAGGAGACTGACAATACCTAAAGCGCACTCGCTTGAGACACTTATTGCCTCCAGGCAAAAAAGATATGGTAAAGTAAACACCTGGTTCAGCCTGTTCAACCCATTCTGCTGCTTCAGGCAATGTGTGATTTCCATTGCTGGCCAGTGGATTACCCAAGTTACTGTTTGACTCAGAAACCTGTGAAGCTAGCAAGTTGCCTGTTATGTTGTCACTGGAAGGAAGTTTTAATGAGTCAGATGTATAGCTATATCCACAGTTATGGGAAATCAGACAACCTTCTGGTACTCCTTCAGCCATAACCTTAAGCTGCCAAAGATGTGACTGGAATTAGAAACCCAACTAGTAGAACACCAAATAAAATTGCAGCATGGTAGCATGAAAAGAGACTTCTGATGCATCTTGCCACCTCGGCATACAAGCCCAGATACAAATTAAAGGATCAGTTTTCTGGTAGCTTAAGTTAAAGAAACTAGTCCTGCCTGGTACATAACTAAATATAGAAATGAGTTAAAAACAGTACTGCCATAAAAATTGTTGGGACTAATAGTGGAAGGTATAATAGTGGGCTAACTGTGGTGATATATGATGAGGTTTTCTACTAAGGATCTCTTGAAGACCTTGCTACATTTTACTCTCTTGGATCCTAGATATAAGAATTCTTCCCTGATCCTGTACATATTGATTCTGAGTGCAATAAACTACCTGCAAGCAGAATTCATCTGAACATAGGATTAGATTACCAGTTACTCAGTAAAAGAAGTATACAGTATAATGCAGTTTATAGATCAGTGATCCTGTTATTTCCCCCCGCCAAGTATGATGAAAAATGTACTTATGAAGTTCACCTCTTAAAAGTTAAAGCAGTATCAGTCAACTTCATTTGACATATGATCCACAAACCATTTCATAATAAAAGATACAGTACAGAACCAGAATAGGCAAAATTGGTGAACCACCAAACAAGTTCAAGCAACAATCAGACTAGAATGTATTTGACTGTTAGTTCATATCAAAGATTAGCTTAAATCCTTATATGTTCATTTAAGTAACAAGTAAACTTACTGCATACAATAAACTTTCATGTGTATGTTTTTTGCTATTAATATTAATTTGATTGATGGGAGATTAATAGGAACTTAGTCTACACTTGAACGATAAAGACAAACAATAAAAAATATCCTGAACACGGCTTTGGAAATGCTAAAACAATGACAAAAATTTACAATAATGATAGATGGACAATTGGTTCCGTAACATATAGGCCATAAGTATCTTGGATCAATTTTTTAGTATAAGAGGATGTTGATAAAGATAATTTATAGATTTATAGCGGGATGGTCACAATGGAGAAGGTAATTAGTTTGATATGATCCACCACTTGGACTGGTCCATACCGGGCAGTAGTAATCGTTCTAATGGCCAACCAGCACACAGATCGGCCCCTTTTTTCTGATCCTGGTCCACTTCAGCCTTTATTCTTTTTTTATTTAGGTTTAAATCTCTCACACATGCTTAAACTCTCACAAACACTCGTGAGATCTGATTGCTTTTAGTTTGGCTAGTGATAGTGTCTTAACAAGAGCTAAATGTTAAGAGAAGATATATGTAGCTGACCGTATATGCTTGGGACGTTACAACTTATTGCGGATGCTACTCCACATGGTCATAGATTTTCTATGTTGTAAAATCCCAATAACTCAAATATAAGGCTAAGCGTGCGTTAAGATTCGGATGTTAAGCATTTAGAAGAAATATACAAAAAATTAGGGTTGTCTAGACTCTAGACAAGGATAGTGAGATGGACATGTAGAGTAACTAGGGAAAAAAAGTTTATATTTATGAAAATTCGGCAAATTTTGTAGAGAATATTTCACTGACTATGTTTATATTTATGAACAAAGGTACACTGAGCAGTTCATATTTCACCGGTCCAGCTATGCACCACTATGGAATTAAACTGTACCATAAAAGGTCTAAAGAGACACTTAAACTAATATTTTATGATTTTTCCTAGACATATACCATAGCAGATGATCTTAAACCGACATGCTGTAACATTCCAAGATGAGATAACTACAGGGTAGGTATATAATCCCAGAGACTGCAACCAAAGCACACTTTTAAATACCAGTACCAGTACCCACCCCAGAATCTTATCTAAATAGTACCTACCAAATTAGTATGGTAAGTATACCTCAGCACAACCAATAAACATTACTAAATTTTATATAACATGTCATTGCTCACCAATATGATATACTGACATGCCGTCAGAAATTATGATTCAAAGTGCTACAGAAGTTCAGAAGTAGCAACTATCATGACAATTTCCATGTGCAAAAAAGAACGAGATAGAAAAGGAAGTCCAATGTGAATAAGAAATTGGTGTGGATTTTTTTAGTATAATAAACCAAGAAACCATCAAATGTGTAAAAATTAATTTTTATTCTGCAATTTCAGAGAAAAAATATGCCCAACATGTTCATAAGAATAGTACCTAATGCTGATCAATTAACTTTTGGAATCAAGAACTCCACAAGGAATACTATGTGTTAAGAAGAAACTCTACCTGTGAGGTTAGAGACTTGATTACTTCCTTTGCAGCCTTGCACTTCGCAGTTTCTTCACTTGCTATTGCTTTGGTGTCTATCAACTGTTTTGTTGCTTTCTGCAATTCCACTTCTAGAAGTCGTGATTTACACATTAGCTCAGCTACCTACAGAAGAAAAGGTTCCAATTCATGGTACATAACTGATCAATTATGAGGCACCCTGATTGATGAGAACCAAGATTTCAAATGGAAATTTTAATCACAATTGAAATACAGAACAAAAGACAAATGT